AATTGATCAATACATAAGAAGTTTGAAAACTTTTTCAACATTATTTTTTATATTAATAAACTTATTTTTAATTGGTTAGTATCTTTCAAATTATTCCTTTATTTTTTTATACTAACTTTTTGATATCTGATAGTCACATTAGATTTCAACTAATTTTGAGTCGACCTGTGTCGGATCCTATTTGAGAAGAAATTCTTCCAACGTATATTTTTTCATTCATAAAACTCAAATTTAAAATTTTATTTAAAGAAAACTTAATTCTTTCCATTCGAACCTACAAGTCATTAGTAAATTATTTTTTTATAACATAAATAAAAAAAATTTAATACATTTCGTAACTATTCATGAAAAATTAGCTCGTTGAATATGAAGTACCATCATCTATCAATGCCCAGATTACAAAATTCTTTTTTCAAAATAAAATATATTTGTATAAAAAAATTATTTTATAATTTGATTTAAATTATAAAATAAAAATAATTTAAAATACACCCAATATTAAGAGTAAGGATTACATGAGACTTTTTCCTTTTTTAAAAAAAAAGAAAATAATAGCGCCATGCAAGGCATATACTTCGCACAAAAAACCAATAAAGTAAAGAAAATTAACATTGCTCCTGCCTTGCCAGCTCAGGCTTTACGTTTTTTTGTTGGCAATAAATGATTGGTTTCCAATTGAGAGGCCCAGCCCTTGACCACCAAACCAAAAATTCATAATTCAAAAAAAGAAAACTCACTCCAGTCTTCCGCCGCCTGAGAATAAAATAGCTCACTATATATATATAGACAACGAAGGAATACGACTCGGTACAAAGAAGCAAATCCAGGGAGACAAAACCCTAGGGGCGCCTCAATCTCCCAAACGGCGACCCGCGGCGGTGGGAGCTATGAAGAAGACACCAACGCAGCCACCGCCGCCGCCAACGCTACCGCGACCACTCTATAAACAGATGTCGTGGTCGCCAGACATGGAGCGCGACGAGGCGTGGTTGAGGCGGAAGGGAAACCATAAGAAGGGACTGAAACGAAGCGTGAGCCTTACCGACGACGATATGGAGGAGCTCAAGGGGTGCATCGATCTCGGATTCGGTTTTGCCTCTGAGTCGCCCGATTTAGATCCGAAATTATCCGATACTTTGCCCGCTCTGGAGTTTTACTGCGCCGTGAATCGTCACTACAGCGGTAGATTGTCGCGATCTTCGTCTGGCTCTTCAATTGGCTGCGACAGTGACTCCAGCAGCAGCACCAGCACAATATTCGATCGTGGTAATTTTGAACCAAAGAAAACTATCCGTTTGAATTTTTGCCCGCCGGATGCAGTGTTTAGTTATTTTAATTTTTTTTTTCCCTTTTTAGTTGCAGGGGATGATCCGAAGGTGGTGAAAACCAGGCTGAGGCAGTGGGCGCAGGCGGTTGCTTGCTCGGTGCGGCAGTTCTCCGGAGGTCCAAATTGATTTCCGGTGATGCTAATGGCGTTGTTTTGTATAAAATCCACAGTTTGCACCTGATTATTTACTTTTATTTAGTTTGTAACCAATTTACAGCTCTGTAATATAATTTTCCTTGATTCAAAATTTTGTCCTGTTTATTTCAAATTCAAGTTTTGCTTATTATAAAATTTCAAAAATACTTACTATACTAGTTAATTTTAAATGACATAAAATAAAATATATTCTTTTTTTTTTTGGTTTACCGCCCGGTATCCGGGATTACTCCCCGATTACTCCGGACTCGACCAGCTGTGGCGCAGCAGAATGGTGGGTGGGTCTCCCAACGAAGGCCGTTGCGTATACAAGATTTCGAACTCGAAACCTTACTTAAGCTGGAACAAGCCGCTTGTCACTTGATCCAACCCCTCGTTGATATAAAATAAAATATATTCTGATAATAAATAAATAAATGTATACAACAATATAAGTTTATAAGTGATATTATAATTATAATTTTTTTTTTTGCCAAATTTTGTCCTTTGGAACTTTTTTTTGTTATTGAAGCTCAACTTTATTCGAAAATCGAACATTGTGACATGTCATGATATTGGATTGACTCTTTTTTAATCCGTGTGCAACTGTGCATGCATTCACTCAGAATATTTCTTATGCTTAATGCTGTTGAAAACATGGTATCATTAAAATTCGTAATCCAATGTGATGCTGATTTTCTTTTATTTTGGATCTTATGAAAGATTTCTAAAAGCTTGAGCTTCAAGTATGATCATGTCTAGAATCTGCAGAGATATTGAATTGATATTTGCTGCAGCCGCACGTTTAGAGAAAGACTCATCAAAACCGCGTTTACGCAATTTAGATGTTGACTTGGGGCGATTTGAGTGCTAATGATCTTGAAACTGTGTACTTGGGAAACAATTAACCAACTTCAACACGGTTTTCATTTGCATTAGTACATATGGCCCCCCTCCCCCCCTTTTTTGGTAAATGTACATATGCTTCTTTACAAATCAAGGAATGGTGTCCTCTTATATTATGTATTATGAAAAATTGTTTCATAATTTAGATTGTAAAATATTAATTCTTAAATGGGAAAAGCATATTTTTGATATTAAGGTTTTCCCTATTTAAGTGTGTTTATTTTATAATTTAAAATAATCTAAACTGAAAAATAGCAAACCCTATTTATTATATGAAAAAATTATTGTACAATCTCTTGATATTGCTCTACCTCTATTTAATAACTAAGTTTTGCCGTTTGCATTACACAATAAAAAAACTCTTATTATATAACTTATCATCTAAGAAATAAAAAATCAAGGAATGTTTGAAATAAAAATCAAGCACAACTTGGAATTGGAATCCCTTTTGCTTGGATACGTCAATTTGATCTCGATTATTTGGGTTACCTTTTGCTTTTAGAGATAGATGACTTTGCATACTTCATCGGTAAGAATGCCAGTACCATTAGATTTTCATATAAATGCTGTATTTGAGACTTAATTGGGAATGGGAATCTCACTTTTGAGGCGAAAGGAATCTGGGTCGGGATGGCCATATCTTATTATTAACTCACAACTCACCATTTTCAGACATGCAAAAAAAAAAAAATAATAATAATAAAATCAGATCTCTAAGTTTCATGCTTTTTTTTTTTCGGTCCCCCTAGCATTTTCCCCTGTTTTTTGGCCACCTGAGTTTCACGCTTTGATTTTGACCTTTTCTTTTTGGTATACATGCAACTTTCTTTAAAAGAAAATTTCACTTATATATTCTTGTAGTTCACCGTCTTGTCAAAGGCGTGAACAAAAATATTGAATATTTGATTGGAAAGGGCAATTTAATTTTTATATTTTTACTTAAACCTAGAATTGTCAATTATTCTCCTAATTAAGGAAACAGAGTGAAGAACATATATGAAGAAGAGAACGTTGCTGTGCAAGCCAAACTTTACTTTTTTTGTATGAAGAAAATGTAATCCTGATTTACTTTTTTCAATTAAAAAAAGAAAAAGGAAAAAAGAGAAAGCCACAAATATCTAAAAGAAACCATTTAAAGCATGAGCACTTTATCATATAAAGATGCATAAGTTACCTCATAGAATTAGATAGATGATTCAAATCTACACCATCATTCACATGGATGGGTAGCAAATGAAGTGTTGAACCAATCTTTAGAGTAGGACAATTAATTTATTTTTTTTCAAGTTAACAATTAACTATTTGGCATGGTAGAAATTTGAATTTTTAACTTTAATTTTAAATTAAACCTAAATATCAAATTAAAATTTTATAGTTAATGAGAATCAAATCAACTAACATTTTATCCTGACATGTTATTAGTTCTTTACATTTTCTTTGAATGTTTCTTTTTAATGGTGTATTTGAGATTAATTATTTGATATTATAAAAATTTAAACTCTTAATCTTCAACTTAAATTAAAGTTTTTAAATTAATAAATATTAATTCCGCAAACTCTTGTTGTTGTTGGATGAATGCAGTATAACCTTAAGTTCTACCTTTTCAATCCCTGTTTTTTATTTTTATTTTAATGGAAACCTTACTTTTCCTTTTCTTCTCATCTTGCTGCATCTCATTCACTTCCAAGTTATTTCTCGAAACAATGAAGACGAGATTTTTTTTTCCTCTTTTTACCAAAAAAAAAAAAAAATTCTTCACATAATAAAAAGGTAAATTTCCTTTTAAGCTCTATCAAACAACCCTCAAGCTCCATCTAAATGTGACTCTGTTATATTCATAGTCTATATATATCAACAATCTATTAGTTGAAGTTGAAGGAGTTCGATTCCTTTTAAACAAAATCTCAAGTTCGAGTCTTATAAATAGAAAAATAAGTGCTCGAAGAGATTCTTCCCTTATTAGGTTTGACGCGACTTGATTTTGAATTAGTCGAGATCCAATGTGATTATTGGATATTGAGAGGTTAATATAAAAAAAAAAAAGTCTATATATACCCTAACAGGGTCACATTTAGATGGAGCTTAGGGGCAAATTATGACTAAAAGTCATAAATATATTTTACTAAAGGAGGTCAAGATGGGAAAACATAATGGACACAAGTTATCCCATCCTTCAAGCATTCGCAAACAAGGAATACAATAGGACAGGATAAAATATTATTCCATCATACTCTTAACTTTGGATTATTCTTTTTATATTATATAAGTAGAGTTTTTTTTATGGATCTTTTAATAAATTATTTTGATAATTAATATATAGTTTAGGTTAATTAAGGAATCTTTTCCATGTAGACAAAATCTTGTGATTAATGAAAATTTTGAAACATTTTTTAGGTTTGTTGATGTCCCACTTAATTAAAATTCAAATTATAAAATGAAAATTAAAAAACATGTGAATGAGAAAACAAGAAATCACCACTTAACCAAATAATGATGGAGTAGATCATAATGGTCTGCAAGAGATCGTGATTTAAGGGTTCAGTTAAAAGTGACGAAAAAATATATATGCACCTCACAATTCTCCGTAAAAATTATAGTTGCATCCTTCAACATTTAGGGACGTTTATTTCAACTTTTAGAATATTTTTTAAATTAAAATGAATTTAAGTGAAAAACATGCATGAAAATGAACTTGGGAATTAAAAGTTTTTAGACCCAATTGAAACAATAAAAAATGGGGGTGTCAAATTGCATGAGAATTCAAACCTTTGATCCAAATTAAAAACATTTTCTAAAATTGTATAGTTTTAACTA